CGGGCTGCCGGGCCTCGTGGAGGAGTGTGTACACGCCAGGCGGTGCCCTCGCGCGCGCGGTCGTGTGACTTGCAGGCACTGTGTGTGCCACGGCCACACCTCTTGGGGGGGGTCCTTTGTGTTTTGCGGCGGAACCACGCCCCCTTCTCCCACGGATGACCCACTCCACCTGGCCCCGCTGAAGAAGCTCCTTTTTTACATTCTTGCTCCCAGGGAGAGTTTTGCAGAACAGGTGTCAGGTGTGAAGTTGCTGGACTCGGGGAGAGGAGTGGGAGCGTGTGGAATCCCGGACAAAGATCTTTGCCGGAGGGTACTGGGAACTGAAGCTGGACGAGCCAGACTGCTGGCTTGTCCTGCTGCCAGAAGCCCTTCCATTCTTGTCGGCACTCCGGGCTCCTCACTCTAGATCCACCCTGTGTTATTCTTGCGTATTTCCTGCTCAGAAGCTTGTCTACTGGACTTTTTGATAGTAGCTCTTGCCGTCGGTATGACGGTGGGCTAGACTTTTGCCCTGTTTGCGCTTCAGTTACCACATGTGTCAAGTCAGAAGAGGGATGAACAGAATGATCGCCAAGTCCCTTGCCAGTGACAACATTTTGTGACTCTGGGTGTATCAAATCAGGGCATAATAGAGAGTGGCTGTTGTCTCAAGACAGGGCACTTTGAATCTAAGATTGGATTATTCCTAGGTCAGTCACATCTCACTGCTGACTCATGGACCCCAAAGTCTGTCTTTTTCACGTGCATTTTTATGATTGATCTCTCCTGCCCTGTATCTATTGCACTAAAAAAAAAAAGTACGGAAGTTTGCATTCATCCCTGTTCTATTCAGGTGTAAGATATGACCCATTTTTCCAGCTTGTCAAGAGATTTTTTGGGGACGATTAATCAGCCACCTCATGCATTAATTACTCCTCGCAACTTCTTGTCACCTGTGAGTTTGATCAGCAGGTCTTCTGTGTCCTCTTCTGATATTCCTGAAAGTACTGATCAATAAACATACGTTGCACCACCCCAGACCTCCGTCCAAACTACCATTTGCCCCAGTAATAAGCATTTGACCCTTCAGTTGCTTAAGCAGGTATTAACTTCCTGCCATCTGGTCAGCATTTCTCACGAGAGTGTTTTGAAGGCCTTGGCAGCTGGAGCTGCTAAAGGCAGCCTTTGGTTTTGTGAAAGAAGCAGAGAGACGTGCCATTCTTTTCAGTCACATTTACTGAGGGTTGCCTGTGCCATTCATGCAGGTAAATAAATGGTCCAGAGCTTTACCCAGTGGAGTTTGTAGTCTAGAGAGAGGCGCACAGTAAAGCAGCTTAACACACTTTTAATACAGAGGAGTTCGTAGGGGCACTGACATGGCTGAACTAATGGAGCTTTGGTGGAGGGCCACGCATCAGAGGTTTCAAGGACTGGGTGATATATGAGTAGGTCTTGCAGGATAAGTGGGACACCCCCAAGGGAGGCTGAACGGGAAATGTGTTTCAGAATTCCAAGAACACAGCAAACACCAAACTGCAGAGGAGGTGGCAACTGGGCATTTGGGAATGGTGGCTGGGTTTGCTGAAGCTGTCTCCATCACACTGGGCTCTGCCTGTGACCAGGACTGCACAAGCTTAGCTGTGTCTGCAGGTTTTTCTGAGCAAGACTGAGTGCCCCCTTGTGTTCTGTAGGGGAGGCACACGGTCCAAGGTCCTTTTACTCTCAGAGGATGGGCAGATCCTGGCAGAAGCGGATGGACTCAGCACAAACCACTGGGTAAAGGCCACACTGAGGGGACCGGTGGGCTTGATTGTGGTTTTATTCTCTGTAGTTCCTGTTGAGGTGGTGGCTGGGGGCTCAGTTAGCAGTTCACAGGGGCAACACAGGTCATGCGAGCCTTTGTAACTCTTCCTTCCCTTGATCGGGGCCAGCTGATCGGGACAGACAAGTGTGTGGAGAGGATCAACGAGATGGTGAACAGGGCCAAACGGAAAGCAGGGGTGGATCCTCTGGTACCTCTACGAAGCTTGGTGAGTCCGGGTAGAGCTTGGGAATGAGATCACAGCAGCACTGAGATAGTGAGTTTGCACTGGATGAGTTTGATGACTGCAGAGGGAAAGGCCTTGAGGGCCTAGTCTCTGGTCTGGAAATTCACCTCATCCCGTGCATTCTTGTGGCTCCAGTTGCCACCCCTAAAGCCGCATGGATTGGAAGAGCACAGGGCTTTGGAGAGCCACTGAGATCTTGGTTTGAATCTTTGTCACTCAGCACCTGTGTGACCCTAAGCAGGTTACTTAACCTTCTCTAAGCGTCAGTTTCCTCATTTGGAAAATGCAGATAACAGTAGCTACCTCAGAGTTGCTGGGGAAGTAAAATGACATGGTACATCCCAAAATCGTTTGCAGGGACCCTGGCCCATAAGCTCCGATGAATGTTAGCCATTATTCCTAGCTCAGCCTGTTCTCCTGAGTTGCTGTAGCTCCGGCTACTGCCGGGACACCCTCAGTGAGATGTCCTGCAGGCACAGCCAGACCCCGTGTATTCTGGACCAAGCTTCTCTCCCCTCAGCTTGCTCCTCTGCCTGATTTTTTTCGTTAAGGGCGCTAGTGTCCTCTCCAGCTCCAAACCTGGCAGTGTCGAATCCTTTCTCTTGTCCATCCTTAGTCCAGGTTCTTGCCTTCTGATGAGTCACTGTGTGGGGTGGAAGGACCCGGGCCGCATGAGCGGGGTATGCCCCGATGTAGAAAGCAGGGGGCAGACATCAGGAGGGGAGGGGGTTGAGAAAGGAGCTGGGTCTGGGGCCCTGCTTGCTCGCTCACCTCCCGCGTGGCCTAGGGCCTATCCCTGAGCGGTGGGGATCAGGAGGACGCGGTGAGGATCCTGATGGAGGAGCTGAGGGACCGATTTCCTTACCTGAGTGAAAGCTACTTAATCACCACCGACGCCGCCGGCTCCATCGCCACAGCCACGCCGGATGGTGAGGAGGTGGAGGGAGGGCTGAGGTTGAGAAGTGGTTTTCTTGGGGGAAGAAGCCCCTTAGGTTTAGCTGGCAGAACCTGACTTGCAAATACCTGGAAGGCAGCCTCAGTCATACCTCCCACTCCTCTCATTAGCTGAAGTTGGCCAGAGCAGGGGCTGGGCAGCAGGAGGGGGGGCAGGAAGGGCATCTTGATGGGAAGCAGAGAATGGAGTCCAGCATAAAACTCCATTTCAGAGGAGGGCACCCCAGGCAGTGCAGTGATGAAGCTGGCTAGGGAAAGCAGCAAGTGTGGAAAAGAAAATGGGAGGAAGTCTGATGGCAGTGCAGAAGAGGATGGCATTGTGAGACTGGCATTTGAATCTCAGCTCCCATTTTACCAGCTGTACCATCTTGGAGAAGTTACGAAACTCTCTGAGTTTCAATTTCCTCATCCATGAGATGGGGTAATTAGATTCATAAGGTGGGTCAGGGCATTGAATGAATGTGGAAAGAGTCTAGCACAGTCCTGGCACATGGTAGGGACTCAGTTAAGCAGGGAGTCACTTGAAGGCTGGCTGGGCAAGGAGACAGACTCGTGTTCCTTGTTCCCCAAGAAGGGCTGTATGTGATTGGAGTTTCTCTGAGACCCAGGCCCTCCTCCTTCAGGCAGGAAAATAGCTGGGCTGGGTTTTCTCTGCAAAACCGGGTGGTGATCGCTTTGCTTGGGGCTGGTGTCTGTCCTGTCGTCCCTCAGTCGGAAGCTCTGTGCTCTGCAGGGCCTCGGCCGCGCTGAGCCTCCCGTGCCCTTTCCCCAGGTGGGATCGTGCTCATCTCAGGGACAGGCTCCAACTGCAGGCTCATCAATCCCGACGGCTCAGAGAGCGGCTGCGGCGGCTGGGGCCACATGATGGGAGACGAGGGCTCAGGTGAGTGCACGCCGACTGGGGTGGCTCAGGGTCCTGGACCCTTCCCTCCCTGCAGCTCCCCATCTTCCTCTCCCCGCCTCCCCTCGGCCTGCCGACCCCTGGGGGCTCTCTGGGACACCTCCTGAATCTGAGGGCAGGGTAATGACTGAGATCATGGAGATGGAGCTGTGGGACTGCTGGCTGGCCTCGGTCTTCAGCAGCGATTTGCACCCAGGACTCAAGAGTCATGCCTCAGCCTAATAGCTGTTGCCTATCTGTGCTGACTGTTGGAGTCCTTAGGAAGGACCTGACACTACGAAGGTTAAGGCTGTAGCCGTACCAGTCTGCTAGTGGGAAGGAGGGATGGAAGCTCCCACCACCACCTCTATATGGGTAGCAGGTGTACGTTTGCATAAGGGCCCTTAGGGCCCCACTCCTGGCAGTGACCGTGGTGGTTTGTGTGATAGCTGACTGACCGTGTCTGTCTGCTGGGGTAGGAGCTGGTGTGACCCAGTTTCACCTGTTCTGTCTTCCCCCTCCAGCTTTCCATTATGTGGGTCAGTCAGACACAGTTTAGTTAGAGGACCCCAGGCTGGGAATCGGGGCACCTAATTCTCTGTAATACCCAACCCTGTCTAGGTCTGAGTTTCCTTCCCTGTGAGCTCGGGGAGATTGCCCCCATCTTCTTAGCCCTCTCTACTCTCTGCAGCCTACTGGATTGCACACCAAGCAGTGAAAATAGTGTTTGACTCCATCGACAACCTAGAGGCGGCTCCGCATGACATTGGTTATGTCAAACAGGCCATGTTCAACTACTTCCAGGTACTTCCCCCGCCCCCTGGTAAACGTGCACACCTGGGATAGGGCTGTGGGAGACTGCGCAGGGGTGAATGCAGGAGAGGGACTGGGTGGGCCAGCGGGAGGTCGGGGTGAGTTGTGGGTCAGAGCTGGAGGATGGAGAAGTCATAGGTGAGGACAGGATTCAGAATGAGGCAGGTGGTGCATTCCAGGAGGGTGCTGGGCATGAGGAGGGGGTAGGGTAGGGACAAGCTAGACTTCACTCTTGGGCAGCTAGACTCTGCTGAGAGGTGAAGGCAGGTGCCATTTTAGGCTGGAATGAGAAGGGCGGGGTGAGATCGGGGGCGGTGCACACAGACACAGGGACAGCGGGGAAAGTCAACAGATGTGTTGGACAGTGAGCTGCGTCTGACCTGCACAGGCCACGGAGGAGAGCGCATTCTCGAAATGGGCGGGGAGGGTTCTTAGGAAGGTACAGCCTCCTACCCCAGGCATCAGGGACTGACCGCCCTTCTTGGTTTGGGCTGTGCTCATTTGTAGTGGATTAGGAAACAGCTGCCTGGAGCTGAAGCAGAGGTGAAAGGTGGGAGAGGAGAAGAGAGGTAAATTTATCTGATAGACGTCTCTCTGGACGAGGGCCACTTAGGTGAGCTGGGGCCAGGGTCAAGGAAGAGTAGAGATGCTGGAAAGAAGGACCTGTATTCTCAAGGCTTAGGGATTGACGATTGAAGAGGAACTCTGGCTTGGGCCAAGGTAAGGAGTATGGAGGGGCCAGGAAGAGAAATCACTTCTCATGGCAGTTGCTGTGGGAAGTGGAGTTAAGCAACAGATTGGTTCCAAGCTCCACTGACATGTCTGCTAGTCCCTCTCTTATCCTTTAGTCATTCTCATTAGGTCGTTACAAAGGTCGAATGACACAGTGTGTATAACATGCTTAATACGTTGCCATAAATGCTCACAATTTAGCCCCCACCCCCTCTTCCTTCCATTTTGCCGGGGGATCTCTGGTTCCTCAGGACCTTCAGAGGTGTTACAGGGGAGTAAGCTGGTTGACGAAGAAGATGGATCTTGTGGTCAAATAAGAGGGGAGAAACAAATCAATTTCCTGGTTAGGACTTCTCGGAGCCCTTGATCTGCCCTGTGACTCTCTTAAGAGAGGGGTGCAGTGTGCGGTGTCCTTAGATTCCTTCGGCCCAAGAAATCTTTTCAAGAGCTCCTCGGGGAAGTACAGAATACTCTGGTGGGCACAGATGTGTGTTCTATGTTGCGTCCAAGCTAACCTCTAAAGAGCAGCAGGGTCCATGTTGGGGAAAACGGACCTTTCTCAAATGAGAAATCTCAAATCCTTGGACTCTCTAGAGCGTAAACATTTCCCCAGCTTTTCAAACAGTAGAGGTATCAGGAAGGCCAACTGGGTGGGCACACTGGGGATCTTCCTGTGCTGCTGCTGACTGTCTTGTGCCCTTTCTGCCTCTCAGGTGCCAGATCGGCTAGGAATTCTCACCCACCTGTACAGAGACTTTGATAAATGCAGGTTTGCTGGGTTTTGCCGGAAAGTTGCAGAAGGTACTAGAGGTGGGGCAGGGCTTTATCTGGCTTTGTTCTGCAAAGACCTCCCCAGTTGGAGGGTGGAGTAGGGGTCACATGGGGATTGGAAGCCAGTTTCCCTTTGACCAGGTGACCTCAGTTTTCTGCCGCCATGGGCCTTGGTACTGGTGGGCCTTGGGGTGGAGGCAGGACACACAGGTTGTAATGACAATTGTTTTATGTGACC